GAGTTTGTCCTAACGTACTTAAATGGAAGCCATCTGATATGAATTCTGTTGATTTTCGTTTAAAAATTACCATGGAAAGTGGTACTGGGTAAGTTCTGTGAAAATATGAAAAACAGCAAAGTATAAAATATATTTAAATTTATTTTCTGTGATTTTATAACAGTATTTTACCAAGAAAAGTGGGCTTACTCTTTGTTGGTGGGCAAGATCATCCGTTCGGCAAGATGAACGTTACTAAAGTCATGAAGGATTTGGATAACAAAATAATTGAATGCACTGCTAATAGTATCGGGCAGTGGGAATTTATGCGCGAACGTACGGATAAAACGTTACCGAACAGCTACAAAACTGCATGTGGTAAATATTCTTTTATAGAAATCTTAGAAACTAAACAACCTTTACAGGGTGTATAATTAATCTTTTAATTGTACATAATTATTAGATATGACATTATACAGGCACTGTGCAAACAGTAATAATATTTGTTAAATTATTTAAGTATTTTCATTTTTATTCTTCTTGTTTTAGCTGTAATCGAAAGTATACGGACACCTGTAACAAAGGACATATTATTGAACTTTATTGCTTCCTATGGTAACCGAGACGATGCCGATATCATGCCACCTCCTGCAACATCTCATATACACCGGGCCGCACCACAAGTTCCGCGGGAAAATTGACAACAAATGCAAAGCGCTATGACAAGTGCAAAACAAAGTGAAAAATAATTTATTAACTGCATATAGTAGCATATTTATTTGTGAATAAATTGCTCATTTAAACTCTTTTAAAAGACATTTTCAAACGAATGTTGTAAATAAAGCAGGCAAACTACTCAATTGGTCGTATAATGACCAAATTTTAAAATTTTAATAAAAACATGGAACTTTATATATTGAATATATTTAGTTTTTACAAATCTAACTTGAAATAACGATTAGATTGTTCATAGTAAAAAATTTTTCTAAAAAAATTTATTTATAATTTTAATCCATATAATAAAATGTAATTTACTGCTGTTAATTATTCTATTTGAAGTTAGATTTACCTAACGCTTTTGTGAGAAACCGCGGCAAAAAGGTAATAAACTTAACTTCTTATTAAGAGTTTAATAAATATGAACTTTTCCTTACGTATATCATCTTAATATGCTGCCATTCCTTATTAAGCTGTCTTCACTTACTACACCAATATTTAATAGGCACACCAAAGCTGCACCTTGTTCTGCTTGCTTTTTGTTCTTTTCCCAAAAGCTGCTGGTGTATTTTTTTCCGTCATAAGCACAAATTGTACGGAACAATTTATTGATACCTTGTGTCTCATAAATGGGTTTCTGTTTCTGTTGTTGACAAGAGAAAGTATATAGCATTGTTTTTGGTAGTTGCGTATCTGTAATAATGACATTGTAAAAACTTTATAAATTTATTAGTTCGAGACGCATACCAGCTGTGTAGTTTGAACGAAGGAATGCTATATTGCACTCAATGACATCTCTTGGCAATTCGGGTACTTCCAATTTTTGACGTTTTAAGTCTGGTCCTTCAGCATCGGGTATATGCCCGGGAGCTACTTCACGTCTTCCGAAATTTCCTTTCTCTTTAAACTCTAATTGCTTTGTATAGCAATATTCACCAAGATTCCATATTTCACTATTTGTGGAGAATTAAATATAGATACTCTACATTGGGAATCGTTTAAGCTCAACTCACCATATTTGCTGCAGAGTTTGGCATTGGAGGAATTTTTTACCACGTGGAGTTTCTTGTAGTTCTTTTAATATATTTTGTACACAGTATTTGCTATTGTGCGCTGCATTATCGTAATCAACACTTAGTTTTAAGTACCTATAAATTACATCATCGATTGGTAGCAGACCTATAAATATAACAAAGCATTACGATTTTGCATTGGCCCAAAATTGCAAAAGCACTAAGTTACCTTCTTTTCTGAATATGGAAATATTTAACTGTGCCGCTCGTGCTATCATAACGCTATTAGCACCACAAAGCTCTTTAAATTTGAATATATCGGCATATTTTTGAATGTCTCTAGATCCACCATTTGCAATTACAGGTATATTCACAGATTTAGCGATTTCCCTTATAAAATCTAATATAGATATAAAATTTTTTATTTATTAATTATTTATCTGTATAAGTATAATTATACCCGGATGCGGTTCATGTTGTGGCCGTTCATCACGTGTTCTAGCGTGTATAGCAATTGCTGCAATGCCAGTAGCAGCAAATCTTTGCACCAGTTTTATAGTATCCTCTAAATTTGGAAGAATTCTAAAAAAAAGAAGTTTACATTCTTATTCACACGATTTAGTCCTGTGCATGACTGTTTACCTTATCTTACATGTGACAGGAATATTTAAGTTTTCACAGAGTGTACGTAATATATTGGCAGCTTTCTCAGGTGCTGCAAGTAATGCCACTCCCATGCCGCCTTTTATTGAAAATTCCTTCGGACAACCCATATTAATATCAATGCCAGCTACATCATTTTGGATCTTTAAGGATATTGAATAATTTTGTCGAAAATAAAGATATTATGTGGGAAGTAAAATTTATGTTTGTATATAAGCAAATTGAATTAAAAAAACACGATGGTGTTTTGAAACCGGCTGTATTTATTATGGTTACAATGGCTCTGCGTGCCAATTGTGGTTAAATTTGTTCATTAAGTGACAAAAAATAATCATTTAAATCTATCTAAACTAAAATTTGCAAATAAATGTTCATTTAGGTCAGGTCTGTCCAGACCAGATGTGATCGTGGGTTAATACAAAATAATGTACAGATTGGAGGACATTCATGGTTGTTATTACAAATACATTATAACATTATAAATACGGCTATAATGTTAAATTTAGTTTCATTAATTTAAATTCATTTATTTGGTTTATCATAAAAATAAAATAATGTAGTTTTACCAGTACCTCTAAAGAAAATTTGCATAATTGTAGTAGATTAAAAACATATACTTTGGGCCGTACTTTGGACAGCCCTGATTTAGGCAATTCAATATTATTAATGCTACCACTTGTTAACGCTGTTACTCTTTGTATTACTTCATAATGCTTTCTGACCATTCCAGATAGTACAATCAGGTAGTAATCAGTAACAATATAAGTTGATAATTTATTTAAATATAGGTCTAAGTGAAACCGAGTTCTGTAACTTAGATGACTATTGTTGGTACTAAACGATAGTTATGGATATTTCTCACAATATCCATGATTTTCACAAGTAATGGTATTATTATTATTAAAAATAAACGATTTATATTTAAGTATATAAATAAATGAGACAACTTTTAATATGTACCCGAATTGAAAATTTTATGAATATTTCCGAAACACTTAATCAAGCAACAAATCAGACCCTTGCTTAAATCGCAAGGATCACTTGACAGTTTATATTGAGACATTTTGGTATCGTTTTTTTTTTCATTTAAATTGCAAATTTGATTTTTTATTTGCTGTTCATTTATTTCTTGAAACTGGAATATATATTATTAACTAACGTTGACTAATAAATTCACTTTTTTTCAACAAATATTTACCAGCTTTCCCACTGCTAAGGCCCGTTGCGCATTACTGGTGCCGAGTTGCAAAACTACTTTGCTCCGCTCTTTCTCACATGTGCGAAACACAATGGTGCCATCAGATGGATCAACGAAATCTATGGTATCCAGTGCAGCTATTGGAATAAATATGAATACTAAAAGATATGACAAATTAAATATAGAATTTTTACTTACAATTAAATCTTCTCTTGCTCTTAATTAATTTTAAATCTATTAATTCCTCTGTGTAAACTATTTCGGCGCCAAACTCTAGTGCCAGTAAACGCATTGGTAATGTACCAAACCGCACCATTGGAGCTAGTATTACTTTATTTTTGTAATTTAATTGTTTTTCAGTTTCCACAGTCATTTTAAAAAAATAAATTCAATAAATTAATTTTTGTTGTAGTGCAAATTTATTTTTTATAAAACATGTGTTCGAGCTGTCAAAATCAGCTGATTCCAATTTTGCTTTCCTTATGTTTACTAACAACATTTGTTGTTGTTTTTGGAATGCCCAATGCAAAATTGTAAACATAAGGTTTTTGTTTATGCTTTCACTAGGCTTCTGACAGCAAGTCATAAAAGCTGTATTTGTACGGTGAAATTATTATCTACGTTAAGTGGAGGTCATTACGCTTGCTGGAATAATAATATTTATTATATTATCGTAAGCGATATTTGGTTATTGTAAACGAATGGTTGTGTAGGTCCCGGCGGGTTACAACAACAACAACAATGGTTGTGGAGCATAGACTCTGCCGATTCATGAACTTATGCATCTACTATTGCAATCTTCATTAAAACAATTTTTTAAATGTCCCCAGAATTTTCATAGAAGTATAATTTTCATAATATAGAAAAATGTGTAAAATATCATACAAGCACACGTCGATTTACTGATGAGTAAATAGACAACAATCTAAGTAGATTATTCTACACAATAACGAAAAAAAATATTTTATAGGGTTATATTTATATATATATTATACACAATATTAAATTCGTAGCACATTAACAGTTTGTTTATATATTAAAATAGAACTTGTGTTTATTTATTATCTAACTGTATAAACTTAATAATACATCTGTTATTTACATATATATTTTTTGTCGTTACATTTAAATACTTCATATACGTTTTACGCTAATTCAATACATTAATCCCAAAACCTAAAGCTTTAGAAAGCAGAGGATAAAATATTGTTTTACGTTTTAAACATTTTTTTACATTCATAAGATTAAAAACAAAAAACAATCGTTGTCTAAAATATTACGTTACAATCATAAAACAAAGAAAGTAATAACAGCAATATTTGTGAATTCTAAATAAATAATAACAAATTTCTACAAATTTTTCAATAAAATATCAAACACTGTTGCTAACAAAATTAATTGGTTCAGGTAACTAGCCATATGGATTGTGCTTTTTAATCAAAAACATTTGTTGAATTTTATGTATTTTCATTCCTCCGCTTATTCATTCTATGGCATTTACAACACTGTTCTACCATTCCTTTCCAACATTGTAAATGAAAACATGAACCACACCGATCACAACGAAATGTATTCTTTTGCCAAGGGTATATGACTTCACTTTTATCGCAATATTCACAAATGAAACCTCTACCAATGCAGAGCTGTAATTCCGTATTTATTAAAATAATGATTTTTTTTTTTATTTCATATTTTCTACATACCACACAATTGAAAATATGCGCTTCGCAATTGGATATCAGCTCATCAATGGAACGTTTCATACTTTTATTTTCTACATCAATAAAATCGGCCATTGACCACACGTCTAGTTCACTTGCAATATGATTTGGTATAGCATCAAAATATTTGTTTTCCCTTTAAGCATAATCTATGTAAAATGAATTAATTCAATAAATAATATGCCACTCACTCAACAGCAAAACGACATGCTCGTATGAAGTCTTTAACAAAGCCAAGTTGAAAACGTTTTTTACGCGCGTTCCGCAGTATTTTATTTTGTATATATAACGCAGGATTAATATCAGGCACATAAAATAAAGGATACGAATACATTTGCTCTAACAAACGATATGCGAAGACGCTTACTGGATAGCACTTAAAGTCCCACCTTAAAAAGAATACAAATTGGTAAGTAGATTAAAAACTGAAGAGTGCAATATAATTTTTGCTTTTACTTACAGTTGAAGTATTTTCGCAGGAATGGTAGAAATTTGATTGCGATGACATCCAGTGCAATGATATTTACCAAAATAAGAGCAATATCGAAAGCTATGAATGTAAGATTGCGCGACATGCATTCCACATCCAGCACATAGATTATTTTGTATCTTTATCTGTTGTTTTCTACTGCAGAAGTATTTGAAATTTTTTTTTTTAATTAAAAGAATTCAACAAACATTTAGTAAACTTACTTTGGTTGTGGTTGGTCAGTAAATATAATCTGTGGTCTTGGAGGGGCCCAAAATTTATTTCCACGCGTTCTTGAGCGAACTAAGCTTTCTTCTTGTGTCATAGGAGTTTTTTGACTAGGTAAAGGCAAAAGTTTCTGGGGAGTGTCCTGATCTGAAACTAACCATTTCAGTTCCGAAACTTTGGGTAATTGAACATCGTTAAACTTCGATATCAATGATAAGCCTACTACTTCGGCAGAGAGCAGATCCAGACAATTTTCTCCAACTTCGGCATAGGGAATGTGCTCTTCAACATCTTTTAAAGTTGACTAAAATAATAAAGTTTAAATTTTTTAAGCAGCCAAAGCAATTGTAGAGTCAACTAAAATACTTATTAATCAAATAAATTATTGTTTTAAGTGATAAT